TGTTGAGTCCTGAAGTGGAGAGCAGTGACGGAAGAACCAAGTCGTCCGTGTGCTCAGAGGCAAGTCCCGAGGAAAGGCGAGACGATGAAGGCGCGACGGGGCAGGGAGACAAAGGGAATCCCCTATGTCCATCGTCGGCGGAGGGTCGGTCATTGAGCCACGTGTAAGCTCACTTGGGGACCCCGATGACAGGAGGAGTCCACCCTCTACAGCCCCAGAAGGGGTGCAAGGGGGAGCCGTGGCCCCAGCTGGAGACCCTGACGTCTGAGGTTTCTGCTTCTTCTTTGACGTGTCTTCAAGAAGAAAGTCGTCAACATCACTGTCACCTACTGCCGCCGTTTCCAACGAACGGGAGCGTTTAACGGCGGGCATAGGGCACGTTGGCAACACTGCAGTCAGGTGGAGTGGTAATGACGTCACACTATCACACTGCGCATGCGCAAACTTGAAAAACTTTACTCAGAGGGATCGGGTGGTAGGACCAGATGTTTTATCCCCAAAAAATGACAAAGTCCAAAAGTAACAAAAAAATATATGCCACTGTGCTGATATCTGGGTCTTACTATAGTTGTCTGCACAGGCTGGGATTGGTAGACGCTCTGAATTCGTCAGAAATACGAATTTTAAGGAGCAGTCTCTTACAGCCTTTGTTGACACTACGCACGCATGCGCGTTTTCATTGCAGACTCTTTATTTTCTTATGTTCTTAACTGGGGCTAGGCGTTCCAGATTGGCCACCATACCCTCCTTTGCTCCCCTCTGTAGTGCGTCGGATATTTAACATGTTGGAATAGAAAATCATCTCTCAGAGTTTCTACGAAAAGTGACTGGATTATTTAGGTCGTTTGGCGTGAATTCATTTCTCCAGTCGATGTCGCCATAATTAGTGTTCCCCATGACAAGGGTGGCTAGGGTTCTGCCCGGGTACATTGTCAATTAAGTTTCTCTGGTTTAATACACTACATTTTGGGGGTATGAACATACATCAAACAAGGAGTAAGTCTCTTGCAAGTTTCTTGGGAAAGGTTCGTAAATGAGTCATATCCAACTCACATTCCTCCGGTTCGATTCTCCTGTTTTTGTACTGTAGTGGATACCTCCCTTACAAACGCTGAGTAGCCCACCCCGCGAATTACCCAGTGTCTAGGTCAACCAGCGCCGCCTTACATGACGGAGGTCAACTACTAAGCTACGCCTACCTCCGCTACTAAAGACCTGACCTCGTGGTGACCTGCCTCTACCTACACCAACCAACACCTCCTCCTGCCTGGTGGTCCTCGCTCCCGCCGGCGAGCATGGCGACCCACAAGCTGTCCTCCTCTGAGCGTCCTCACCAACCAGCTCTCTCTACATCACGCTTGTAACCATGCTGCCTTCCCACCATTGTACATCCAATACAACATGTATACAGAGAGCACATTGTGAGTTTCCTTTCTCCACCCCATCCTGAGTGTGAACCAACAACATATACTGTACCGGGTTGATGTACCCTCAAACGCCGCTCTTTTGTCGTGTCACTATTAGTGTACATGACCTTCAAGCCGGAATTTGTCCTCTGCAATGTCTCTGGTCTTGGTATTGCAACACCGGCTCTCCTCCAGTTACCTCGGGTTAAACTTGTAGTGGCTACTCTCCCCTACAACTCCCAACTGAGCTCCGGCCGCACTCCGACCAGCCAATCAGCGTACAGCCAGCTACGCCGAGAGACTAGGTCTATGCAGAGGACGTAGGGGTACGATCGCCGACCTAGTCTCGACCATCAACCTCCAGTTCAGGATCAGAGCGTTTCACACCTTACGCTTGAGCCGCTGTGATTGGTCCGCTCGCTACGCGCAGCCCAGATCCTGATCCTGGTAAATTGTATAAATACGGCTACGCCTGCCCAGGGAGATCATCCTACACTCAGCTACTGGACCAGCAACATCTCTCTCAGCTCCTCACCTACTCACTCCTAAGTACTGCACTGTACCACAATATATACAGGAAGCACATCGTGAGTTTCTATCCAACCTCATTCCTGAGTGAAGGTATCTACATGTACGTACGTTTGTGTGCCCATACAAAGAGATAATAGACAACTAAAGAGAATTGACAACTGGCCACAAACGGTACACTACAAACTTTTATCCTCTTCACCACTGATCTGCTCCTTGGGTGATCACTGTATCCCTTGTTATTTGTGGGGAGTTTTGTATTATTACGCTAAATAGCTAAGGTAACTTACGCTGAAATACCTTAGTAAGGTATAACTAAATTAATAATTACACGAGACATCAACAATTAAAAAATGTGAGAGCACTTGTAATTATTTTTGTATTTCGTTTTTCTTTAAGTCTGGATCTAAGGAAACTATATTTTTAAATTTAAGTAATAAATATTATTTTTGAAGTATGACAAATTTGAAGAAAAAAAGTGGAAGGTGAATCAGGGAATCCTACACTATAACCTAGATTATGCATCATGATTATTCACGTGACAGACCAGACATAGTTTTGAAGAAAACAAAAAAAATAATAATATAGTATTTTAAGTAAGATAAAATATTTAAAAAATATAAATGTTTCATTTATAAAATATGAAAAACAAAGACAAAAGCATGCAATGTGTCAAACACCTGGTAAGAGTGACAAAATCTTGGAACGTGCCTAAAGAAATGTCAGTTGATGGAGAGCTGTTGGAGTGGATAGACGTCAGTGTATACTTTTACTTTTTCTAGTATTCTTTATTCTTCAAAATGCCGTGGCCAAGTGAGATTGGCAGTAGTAAGTAACGTGATTATTAGTAAATAATGTACTTATATTTATATTAAATTACCTTTGCGGTAAATTTTCATTTTTAATCAATATGGCTCGAGCCATCAGTGTCCAAGAGGACAAACGTAAAAGTAATGTTTTTTTTTTCCAATGGTTTAGGCTATTTTCTTCCATGACGTTTTTCTTGCAAATGAACTACCGGTAAAATGATCTAACTTAACCTCCTAAACTGAGCTCCTTCCCCTGGGTATCCCGGTAATATTTAAGTCATTTGCGAGGGAATCATCATAGAAGAGTGTCTTGAAATTGTCTAAATCATCGGTTAACACATTTGCTCAACTCGAGAGCCTTATTGGTTGAAAATGACAATTATATATATATATATATATATATATATATATATATATATATATATATATATATATGTATATATGTAACTATATATATATATATATATATATATATATATATATATATATATATATACAGTATATATGTATATATATATATATATATATATATATATATATATATATATATATATATATATTATATATATATATATATATATATATATATATACAGTGTGCGTAGCTAGAGTGTGTGCCGCCCGGGGCGGCCCTTGAGTTTGCCGCCCCCATCCGTGCCCCCACAAAAAATACATATTGCACAGTGACTCACTCTTATATATATATATACAGTATATATATTAAATAGTTTGTGTACCATTATAATATTACTGTACTTTCACATACTCAAATATAGTATGCTTTAAATACACCCCAAACATACTTAAACTTTATAAGTAACAGTTAAAGAAAAAGCAAAAGCGACATATAAGATAGTATGGTAAAAAACAAAAAGCAAAAACGACATATAGGATAGGGAAAAAAGTAAAAAAGTGTAAAAAATTAGGACCATCTTTATTTCTGAAATGAAAACTACAACTTTCTACAAAGTAACTTTTCTTGTTTTTTTGTTGGCAAATTCTTCAATGACATTGTCAAAAACTATTTCATCTGTCAATTGTCGCTCTATAGACAGTATGGCAAGATTTCTCAACCGCAAGGTGCTCATAGTAGATCTTAAGTAATTCTTGATCAGTTTTAGTTTCGAAAAACTCCTCTCACAGGTAGCAACACTAACAGCAATTGTGAGGAAAATCCTCAGCATTATTACTATATTTGGAACCGAGTTCCCAAGGTTATACTTTTGAATAAACTGCAAAAGTTCAAGGGGGCCTTCTTTCCACGTCTGTATTCGGTCTTTAATAGTTATAGCAGCAACAGCAACAAAATGCTGAAGTCTTTTTCTCTCAACGAGGAACTCCTCATTATCAATGTCGTCGTGATCGTGATCTATTTGACACTCATATTTATCATCCAAAAGATTCAATGGGGTAAGGAAGGCATATTTCTCAGCAAGTTCATGAAGCTGTTGAAATCTCAAAGTTATTTCTTGGATCACTCTGTCCAGCGAAGAAAACATTTCTCTCCTCAATTCAATGTCGTATGGCAATTCAGCATCTCGTGATCCTTCACCAAACATTTGTTTCTTCTTTTTGGGTTGAAGCTGACGCTCCATGACTATCCCCAGATCATTGCAAATTTCTTTGGCATAGTTAACTCCATTACTCACTAGCTTGTCCCTGTTTTCAACTAGAAATGTTTCTAATGCCCTGAGTTTTATATCACATTGTTGTATGTTCAAGCCCTTGGTTTGGAGGTAAGTCTGCGAGTCGTTAATTTCTAGAAGGACGGGTCCCCACAGGCCAAGAAAGCACAAAAAGGAAAATCATTGCAACGCACCAAGTAGAACACCAGCATCTGCCCTGGTAGCTGTATTTTCTTCTTCGCCAGTTAACTTTTCTAGGGCACTTAAGATTTTTGAGAAATGTTTCTTTACAACACTTACAGCTTCTCCCCTCGCACTCCACCGAGTTTCTATTATGCGCTTGACACTTTCACCAGTGACTGAAGTTAGAACATCCCAGCGATGGGTTGATGAAGAAAAAAATACAAACAAACGTTCCACACATCCAAAAAAGGTAACAGAATTCACAGCAACAGAAGCTGCATGAACACCCGCCAAATTCAGCGAGTGATTTGTACAAACGACAAATTCTGCTTTTTTATTAATTTCCTTGATACGTTTCTGAACACCAGTATGAACACCAGCCATCACCGCAGCATCATCATATGCTTGCCCTCTACAATTTTGAATATCAATTCCATCTTTCTCTAATTT